TGATGGTAATTTTCGTTTTTTTTATTTGTTAAGGCCAGTTAGTTTTGCTGACCATTATTTCTATTCCACTCTTTTTAATTGTTAGACATTTTGTCTAAGTTCAACTTACTGTAGGTCGAAAATGTCAACTTTAAAATCCCAAACTGATACATTATGGTCATTTTAACAATATATTTTATGTTGCCTTTCAAAAAAAAAAACGAGGATGAAGAAAATGGTGAATCGGTTTTGTTTTGGGGCACGGACAATATCTCGTCATTGAACAGTCACCATTTAGACCATTTTAACTATCTATCCACCCTGGTAGATGTATGCTTTTACAATGATCCGAGCAGCGTGGCGCAAAACTTCAAGGCGCGTTAAGTGCAGTTGTGCGCACTTTTCACCTTAACATGCGTGAAATACCATTGTGTGCACATTTAGCTCCGGCCTGCACAACAGTTTGCCCCGCGCAACGGCCTCCACAGCCCCTCATAATCTAACTACCCCCATCCCATCATCATCATCAACACCCCCGTGCGCCTCCTCCTCCTCCTCCGCCCCATGTGACCACCAGATTGGAGGCGCGCGTCGGTCTCAGACACCGGCAGGTTAGTGAATCCGCTCCCCGCTCCCATGGGGTCCCATCACGGCTGCAAGCTGTCACATATGAGGCGGGGACAACACAGATATAAGGCGACACACACCCACCCTGACTTAGCTGTTTCTTTCTCCTCTACTGCCTGGTGAATGAAAAGGAGCAGTGGTTTGATGCTCTCTGTTTTTTTTTGTTTTGTTTTGTTTTTTTTGTCTTTCTCCCTTTATCCTCAGTGAGCTGCATGTCCACAGGCTTCAGTAATGTCAAAGTAGCCTAAATAAATCATAAGGTGATTAAACAGACGTCTTCCTCTTTGTGCTCATCATATGGTCTGTAAAACTTCCAGAAGGTTTAATTAACCTGATTTGTTCTTAAAAACCCCAAAGTCTTTCTTTATTGGATTTGAATTTAACTGTTTATTTCACACTTTTGTCAGAAATATGCGGGTAAAAAATAGTGGGAAATTTGACATTAAGATGGGCGCTCTGTTTTCAGACATATGAAATACTATGAAAGCATTAAATACAATTCTTATTCATTTTGGAAGATTTAAAAACAAACACGAAAAACCACAGCAAAAGCCATGCCAAGAATGCTCCCAGCTTTAGGAAGTATTTTATAGACAATGGGTGCATCTAGGATCGTTTCCATTATAGATGAGTTTATCTGTTACAACAGCTTAAAATGTCAAAAGCATGAAGAGTAAAGTTAAACATCGGCTACCAGTTTTCAGAACCAGATGTTACATCTTCAGATTGCTTGTTCTGTCTGACCAACAGTTCAAAGAGCAAATTAAAAATAATCCATTTACAGTGAAATAAAACTGAGAAAAACCGGGGCTCATCCAGTCTTTAGATGTTTAGCTGATTGTTAAAATATTTGATTAAAAATTGTTCATGTATTAATATAGGCTGATTGTACAGGTGTGTGGAAAAAAAAAAAAAGATAAACATTACAATATAGGTTCTTGGTTAGTTTATACATTTTTTTAAAGGCTGCAAAATGCATTTTCTGGCAGAAGACAGTGCAGCCAGACTGTAGCTGTGTATATGATCTGGCTCAGGCTGCTGATGCTTTTGGACAAGTATCCCTCTGGTCAGGTGATCTCCCCCACCCCCCACCCCCTTTTTTGTTCCTCCAGAAAGTGGTAGGAATTTGAGGGCCTGGGCAACCGACACCCCAGAAACTGTATTTCTTCTGGCAGTGCAGCGCTCACAGCTCTACAGTTTAATCTAATTTTAAGTATTTAAGACCAATACTGATATTAATATTTGACTCTGATAAGCTAATAGTCTTTGAATATTCGAAAAAGTATCACTGATATAAGAAAAACTGGCACCAGGAGCAGTTTTACTGTAATGGTCCATACTGACCTGTCAGTGTTAATAATCTATCTGTGGACATGTGCTTTATTTTGTTGAATCTTCTCCCCGTGAATTATTGGCATTCAGTCCATAAGCTTTCCTACTAATAATGCCTGCTGGGCCTCCTCAGCTTCTCAGGTTTTTGTGGTAGAGAAAAAAAATTACTTTTTATTTATTTGTTCAATTGAGCAGGCGTGTTAAATATATGTCTAGATATGTTTAGTAAAATGTGCATAGCCTTTGAATAAACTCTGGCATCTCTATCATTTCAGAACATAGAGTAAAGCATGTCTTTTGAGGGGGATCTCTGTTATAAAATAGACTCCTCTCAACAAACAAACAGCATTAAAACAAGACAGAAAAAAATAAAGAACAAGTCGCTTGCTCTGGAGCTGGTGCTGCAACCTGGACCAGTCACGGATGCAAATGATGCACCTTAACGCCATCAGGTACTGGAGTTGACAGAAAATAATGAGAACCCGCTGAATCTTTTATAAGGTTAACACTCACATTTCCCAGTCAGCTGTCACACAAGAAAGAATTTAGCACATGCATGCGGGCAAAATAAACCTTCATCGTCTCATTAATGCTGACAGGGCCCTGGACCGGCAGCTCCCAGCGCCAGCGCCGCCACCACCTTCGTTTTGTGTAGGTAATTTGCAGCGGAGACAGACCCCCTTCTACTGGAGAGAAAGAGAGGGAGGAGGAGGGAGATATTACGGAGGAGAGCAAGAGTGAGAGGGAAAAGAGGGGAATGGTAGAGGATCGTGGAGCGAGTGCAGAAGAAAAGAGGGGAGGGAAGGTGGGTCTGGGGGGAGGGTGGAAAGATGGCTAGCGCGCCAGGAGTCTGATTCTCCCCTAATTGGAAGCATTGGGCATTGTCAACGGAGGATTTTCAGCTGCTCGCTGACAGGTAGAGCCGTCAGAATGATAGCCCACTTGTCAGCGCAAAAGACCAATAAAAACAAACCACTTTTGATTTAATTGGAGGCCTAACCATGGTGTGTGTGTGAGGTAGAAGCTGTGTGTGTGTGTGTGTGTGTGTGTGTTGCCTGCAGGGCCAGAGCCACGGGGAGGTGGGAGGATGACTGGGGGCATTCGTGTCTGCGCGTGTGAAGGAAACCATCACTCTAGCCATCAGCGTGCTCACCCTGCCTCCATCTTTGCCATCACTCCTTGGCCTCGCTCTGGTCCGGCAGCTCTCTGGGGTATGCTGGTCACCTGCCACCTGCGGTGAGGGGGTTTCAAGAGAGGCAGGTTTTGATTCGGTCCCGAAGGGATTCCTGGGCTGTAACATCAGACCGAAACAGTTTCTCTCTCTTCTTTACCCTTACCCACCTCACCCCCCCTTTTCGTCTTCGTCCTCCATCGACAGACTTTGGTTCTTGCTGCAGATGCCAGGCTTTCAGAACAGGACAAGAACAGTCAGCGTGTCTATAGACTTAGATTCTTATGACCAGAGGAAACAGTGAATCATAAACTTTTCTCTCCATGAGAGCAGATGTCACAGTGAGGTGAGTGTGTGTGTCTAGTGGTGTCCATGTAGTGGTGCTCGTTAAAGACATGTTTACAGAATGTTGGTGGAAATAACTAATGCTGAAGTGCAAATGGGCTATAAAGCAAAAATGGAAGCAAAGGGCAGTTTTGGGCTTCAGAGCAGGTTATGGACTCAAATTTGACTCTTGAGTTCCTCACCTTTTTTTTAAAGAATGATCATGATGACGTGGCACCATTTTTATTTTCATTGTTATATTCTGTTCTCTGTTGAGAGCCTCAGCACCGGAGTCAGAATCATTGAATGTTCAAACAAACTTGGTCATTGCAGATGATTCTGGTTCTGATTGTTCCATTCTTCAGGAAGAGCACTGGGATAGATCTGCATAATATGACTAAATGTATATGGTCAGGTCCATAAAGAAATGTTTCTCACACTTTGTTGTGGAAGAACTGGACTTGCCTGCACAGAGTCCCAGACCTTAACCCCATCCAACACCTTTGGTATGAACTGGAATGGCAACTGTGAGCCAGGCCGCATCACCCAGTATCAGTGTTGACTTCAGTGATGCTCTAATGGGAGTAAATCACTGCAGCCAGGTTCCAAAACCTTGTGGGAAACCAGAAGTGTGGAATCTGTGCTCAGATGCTGATGGTTGCTATTTAACTAAATAACAGCTTGGTGGTGGTGTATACAGCTCTTTGCCACTTAAAAAGTGTCAGAGAGAAGATAAAAGATGGGAAAAGGAATAACTGAACCTAACTTTACTCTTGCATAACTGATTTCAGTGGT